AACTTTGCACAGATAAGAGAAAATGCATACCCCCCCTCTCAAAATTACACACTTTGAGCCACCTGAAATGTCAACGATTAAGTGAAGATTATTGGAGGTGGAGTCAATTCATGCAAGGGAACCATGAGTAAGAGATATTGTGGAAAATACCTATTACTATTACTGCAATCAAGAATACCATTTGGGAGAAGGACACATAATTAAATTGACTCTCTTTGAGTAATTATGTAAATCAATTTGACGTAAATCACATCCACCCTGAGAAGTCAGGCCCTGTCCCTAGAAGGACATCAGGAACAGCCTAACTACCTGTAGCATTCCTGATCAGGATCTACATTTAAACTGATACTCTAATTATACACATTCTACACACATTATGCAGATAGAGTCTGATATATAACAGACTGTGATTTATCCTGGAGCACAGATTTAGGACAACCTTTGAACATAATGTTACCAAAAGCAGACCTGTTGAAATCAATAGCGCTTAAATTGGCTATGACTAATGGAAGCTCCACAAATTTCAGTTAGTATGGGTGCGTCTGGATCCAACCCATTGTATTAACAGCCTTGACTCAATTTTGGAATGAACAAAAATCAGTAATAGCTACAAAATCATGAAAGCCTGAACTCTGCATCCGTACCAGATCAGTTTCTCTATGTTCGTGCATTGTGGCTGCATTTTTAGGCAACATAAATACATCATCCTTCTAACAAGGATCCAAGTGTTGCATATCAAATGCCCAAGAGCTGAATGTGCACATATCAGACTTCACAGCTGGAAATGAGCAACAAACAAGTGCCAACAACAAAATGCAATAGATGATCAATTCAGCACTTTCATTTTGCCCTTATGTTTGCAATATTTACACTAAGTACTGCCCCGGGAAATTCTGGCATTTTATTTTGCTGGATTTCCCAATTACATACAGCAGATCCATTTTCCCTCTCCCTCCTTTCTCTCAACAAACTCACAGCATTAAACACTCATATCTGGTCATCTCCTAAAAAGAATATAATTTTATATAACACGTAACTTATGAACTTCCTTCAGAATTGCAACAGCTGGTTTTTCACAATCTCTCCATTTTCAACCATCCTCTGAAGAAGGATAACAGCAGTAAGAAAAATAAATAACATAATTGCAAATTGCCATGTATTAATCCACAGGTTCTTCCCATCCCAGAAACTTTCCAGAAAAGTAGCAGTGGCCACTTGGAGGCTGTGATCTAAACTTTTATTATTTTATCAGTCATCTGACTCATCCTATCTCACACTGTCTCTCAAACCAATAAAATACCCTCTAAGTAACCAATAAAATACATTTTGAATACAATAGGTGGGGGGAAATCTGGCACAAAGAAAACACAGAGAAGTCACATTCATTTCATGAAGCAAGCATTTTGCTACTATCTATGTATATTTACTTGGCAATAAGGATCATTTAAAGTTTAATGAAATTTACAGCTAAATATCTCCAGCTAAATAAGGAGATGCTGTGTGTGCTTCGACTTTCCCATTAAAAACAGTGGGACTTCAACATGCTTAACACTGCTGGGGTCATGCTTTGAAAGGTCATGCTTTAAAACCAGTAATTAAAATGAAACTATGTTAAAACAAAGTAAGATTCCTAAGAGCAATTTCAGTAAAACTTTAGCAGGATCCACTTGGTTCACAGAATACATACTACTAATAAAGGTAAAGGTTCCCTTTGACAATTTTTTGTCCAGACTACTGGTGGTGGGATGAAATTGTCAGCTCACCCATAATCACAGTTCTGTAACCTGTGTTCATTAATAATGATTAGCACATAAAATACTTGAAACAAGCAAGTATTTTACATCAAGAGTGGACATTAGTATTCAAGAAATATACAGTGTAATATTAGACACGGCTACTCCTTTGCATTCCAGTGGGACCTACTTCTAGGAAAGCAGTCAGAACTGTACAGTAAATTTAGGGTGCCTTTCCTTCAGTCCTACTTGAACGTAGCAGATGAATTTCAGCATCTTCATTTAAAGTATGGGGATAATACTAATATGAAGGCTAACGATACTGGAATATTGTGAGGACAGTTTAAAATGTATTTGAAGTGCTGTGTAACTTTGCCTTATTAATATTTTAGCTCTGAAATATAAAATGGATGGGAGGAAGGGGATTAAACAGATTATGATCAAATATATGTATTAAATATAAGATTGATGGGAGGAAGACATAAAACTCAAAAATTGAAAAGTTATTCCTTTTTTTGGGCCACAGTTCTTAGAATGGACCAGCACTGGCCATGCTGGTTAGGGCTTTTGAGGGTTTGTGTATTCATTTTATCCCCCAAGGGGGACAGGATGGCTACATTTGAGTTTGAACCTGGGAGAACTGAATAGAGAGAGAGGATGGGCCATAGGCGGAGGTGGGCGACGTAAATGCTGTGGTCACGGACGTTTAAGGAGGACGGGCGGTTAAAACTCCACCTTTGCGCAACCCACCAAGAGTAAAGGAGGGGGAAAGAGGTGTAGAAGGAGCCCGAGAGGACAGGAGCCGATCTTGGTGGGGCATAGGCGGAGAGGAGGGGAGGGGAGTAGAAGAGGGTGGTGGTTACTCCGTAATAAACTCTTTAAGCTTCTAGAAACGGCCAGACTTTTCTGGACCAAGATCAATTCGATTACAGGAAGCTTCAGAAACGGCCACAATTCGAATTAATTACACACATACCCTTGGAAAAACCCGCGGCCAGCAGGTTGTAAACAATTCGTCTCCCAAAATGCACGCGCGCTGAGAGGTGGGAGAGCCACTATCGATCCCATTTTCCCCCCAGTTCTTTTTGCCCCGCCGAGGGTGGGCTTCTCAAGTCAATCCGGTGTCACTCCACATCTTTGCCCTGAGGGACGGCGTTTCCGACCCAATGGAGAGAGGTGATGTGGCCGCCATCTCTCCCCCTCCCCTCGCCCGAACCCCAGCTTCAAACAGGGCAACGCGTTGAACCCTGAATACCGCCGGATCACACTACTCGGAAGTAAGTGACTGACGACAGCCACCTTAGCCACTAGAGTCAATCCGGTGTCACTCCACATCTTTGCCCTGAGGGACGGCGTTTCCGACCCAATGGAGAGAGGTGATGTGGCCGCCATCTCTCCCCCTCCCCTCGCCCGAACCCCAGCTTCAAACAGGGCAACGCGTTGAACCCTGAATACCGCCGGATCACACTACTCGGAAGTAAGTGACTGACGACAGCCACCTTAGCCACTAGAGAGGTTAATAGCCGCTAGAAGGGAGGCGGGGCCCGGGGGGGGGGG